CCCCCATGGGGGGATCGCTTGCCAATGTCTGCTGAGAAGAAGGCGCGTCTTCTGGTGTCCCCTCGGCGGCCCACATCCAGCTCTGAGACCGGCGAGAATTACCAAAGATTGCGAAGTGCCCTGGAGTTCGGGTCTCGGCCCAGACTTCTCGGATGCGGTGGCCGTCACTCCTTGCTCGTGCTGGCGCTGCTCTGCTTCCCCGCTCTGTCCAGAGTGCGGCACCTGAGCTCGTCGGACACTCGCGTCGTGCGGCCATCGCGCCGATCAACTTTGCTCGTCCTTCCCACATCCGCTCTGTGCTCACGCTCTGTGGCAGTGCTGCCTCGTGTTTCAGGCTGCCGTTCGCCGACCGTGCTTCCGGGTTTGAAGATTTTCGCGGCGAAGAGGGCACGCCCTCGCCCGAAGCCTCTGCCGGATCGGACAGATCCAGATCTCAGAGCGTTATGTCTGCGCCGCTCACCTCCGGCGTTGCAAACACCGAGTCTGGGCAGATCACTGCTCATCCCAAAAATGCGGAGCTCAACCTCGGGACTGTCGAATGCAACTCCCAGGGGAACGATGAAGGAGCTTCCTGAAACCGACTCACACGCCCGTGCTCTGCTCTGTCGGGGGCACCGTCCCAAAGGCAGCGGCCTCGATGCTGCCAGCTCATGGTGCATCATGCGAGGCTGGAAATCACTCCAGCCAGAGGCTGGTCCCACCCAGTCTGGAAACATGCCGGTTGGCCTTGCGGTTGGTGCTCGCTCTTGGCTAGGGTTGTAGGGCTGCAAGGAGCATACAGTGTTTCAGAGAGGTGTTCAGCAAGTACTATTCCACTTCCTTGTTGTCCCCTGTACCCTCATCCGATCTCTCCACTCAGGACTGTCCGAACGCAACCGCAGCATCCTGCCTCAGCTGGGCATGCTTCTCACTCTGTGCGAGCTTCAGTTGTAGCGGAGGCTGACCGCAGCTTTGAGCCACCGCTTCTCGAAAAATCGGACGTCGTGCCCGAGCTGCGTGGCAGTGCTGTGGCACCCCCTGTCTGCACGCAGCTCTCTGCTGGCAAGGCCACCACATATGATCATGTCATGTGTTCATGGGGGGTCTACACCCTGCGAAATGCTTAAGAAATCATGGGTTAAGAAATTCACAGTCTCAGAACTTGAATAAAAACCCATCATGTCTATTATAATATTAAGATTTGCATTGAAACGTTAAGAATACTCGAGACTCTGGCAGAAAACTTAGGTTTTCTTAAGCATCGCCTAAGGTGTACAGGCATGTGTTCCCGTGAGGTGGATGTGGACACGTCCCTGCCCCCACTTCGCTCGCGCTGCCTCACCTTCCTCCCCCGACTTGCTGATCTCGGAGCCCTCGCGCGCCGTGAGCCACCTCCTCCTCTCCCTGCGGAAGCTGCGTATGGGCCTCGCCCTCAGGGTGCTTCGTGGCATCGAGGGTTGGGCATGGCCGAGAAGGCGCTGGGCAGGGACAGAACGGTGACTGCCAGTGGGGCTCTCAAGCTACCGCGCCCCCCCTCCCAGGCCGGGGCGAATAGGGCGGAGAAAGACCTCACCCGCATCCTCCGAGCTGAGTTGAACAAGGTCGGTTCACGTGGGCTGGCGCTTCAGCTGGCCTGGCGCTCTATCGATTCCGCTGAGGGCCGCTCGAGCACAGGTCCATCAAGTGGCTGGCAGCTCGGTGGCGAGCTTTAGTGCTCTCTAGCAATGCGGGTGACCACGCTCAGGCTGTGAAGCTGGGCAAGCTGCTCGTCGAGCCTCCCGCGACCATCATCAGCAATGCTGGACCCAGGGCAAGCCTTTTTTTCTCGCGCTGCGCGCATCGCTGGCGACTCAAACCAGACAGAGGACAGCTTAGCAGACTTTGAAGCTGAGGTGCGAGAAGAGCTCGAGGCCGCCACCAAGGTTTTTGCCAAGCAGCCCAGAGAGGACTGGCATTTCTGGCCTCATGTTGACATCGATGCTGGCTCGAGGCGCGCGAACCAAATCCTCAAGGATCCCAGTCCCTGGACCCCCACCTCGACCCTCAAGTGCCAAGGGTTGCACTGTGGCCGACCCGCTGTCCCTCTTGAGGAAGGAAGGCGAGCGTTTTTCGGCCCTTTGGGGCCAGGGTGCGGGCGGGTGCCAGTCCCTCGGGAAATCTCCTGGAGGCCCTTCCCAGGTTGTTGGTTGATGGGAGTCGCCAGGCGCCCAGGAAACACAAACAAAAGCTCGGCCGTCTCGATCGACGGATTCCACCGTCGCCACGCTGCTTCTCTCGGGGGCCCCGCCCGGGAGTGCTTCCTCGTGCCGTCACTGCGTCGATGCCGTCACTGTTGGGTGCTTGCCTCCTCGGATCTCGGTGTCGATGTTGGCGCTGCTCTCGAAACCGTCTGGGGGTTACAGGCCGGTTGGGGTGTTCTGTTCCTGGCACAGTGTCTGAGGCCGCATCAGGCGGCCCCTTGCCATGGACCGGGAACAGCATCGGGGAGCAACCGACGCGGACTGGAGGCAGGCGGTCAGAGCTGAGGCTGGGACGGCTGCTGGGCAGAGCAGTTGTTCAACGCACTTCGCTCGTCGCAAACTTTACGCAAACATTTCGCTTGTTGAGTTAGAGGCCAGGTGCCACCGTTATGGTTTCCCGCATGCTTTGGCGCGCCTGGCTCTTTCTTTCGTACACGTGCGGCCGCTGTCTCTGCCTGGGAGGCTGGATCCAAGGCCACTTTGCATGTTCAGCGAGGGGTGGCAGCGGGCTCCTCGCTCGCCACCACCTTCGTCCGAGTGCCCTGGATGGAGGGCTTTGATCGCCTGGGTACTCAGCCATCTCTCTTGACCTCGATGTCTGCATAGATGCTCAAGGCTCACCTTGCAATGGGCCCACTGAGACCGTCATTGCCAGCATCGCTGCTGTTGCGGGGGACAAAAAAAAACATGCGCCAGACTGTGGATAGTGTCTCAGACTGTAGCTTCACGTTCGACAAGAAAGGCCTGGTGGCCTCCTCCGAAGAGATAGGCACGCATGGTGCTTCGCACATGGCGGATCTCTGTGATGTTTGTTTCCCCTCGGCCGTCAGTCTAGGTGTGGATTACACTGCTGGCCGTGCGCTCAGAGTTCGGGGGAGATCGGGCAAGATGAAAGCTAGGATCGCTGCTTCTGGTCGCAAGGCATTCACATTGCGACGGTAGAATAGGCTACTAAGGTGAGGCACCATCATTCGGATTGTTCCGTTAGGTCAGCTTGCGGGAACTAGCTACGGAAGCGAAGTCACGGGAACGTCAGACTATGACCTCCTCTTGCTCCGACGTCAGTTGTTCAGTACTGTGCGTCCCACTTCCAAACCTCGCTCGCTCACGACCTCGGCTGCTTTAGGCAGTGACCCATGCTGGCGTACAGCATGCGCGCCAATCATCAGGTGGTCCAAGGAGGTGTGGCTTGCTCAGACTGCTGCTTTCGAGTGGTCGTTCAAGCTGCCCGAGCTGAGGAGGTCGTGGGCCATCGTGTTCGGGATCCCTTTTTGTTCCTGGCGTTGCGGTTATGGTCCGATTCTGCCCTTCGGATCTCGGTGTTCAGCATCGGTTGGGTTCTGCAGGATGCTGTGCCCATCAGAGACGATACGGGTCAGGTCATGCATGTAGGCAGCATGTCTCCCCCTCTTGTTCAAGTGCTGTGCAACGATGCCTACCTGCGCATGCTTGAGCGAGAGACTGCGCAGAAGCGAGGCGGCAAGCATCAGGCTTGCGATGGCACAACCAAAAGGAACTTTAGCCCGCGAGAAATTCACGGCTCTCGAGAAGAGCAGGGCCAGAGCCTTTGCCACTGAAGCGTTTCCTCCCAAGGAGCGTACGCTCCAGCTCGACGGCCAGATCGACGCAGGTTGCGCACTCTGCGGCAAGCACGACTCGTCCCCCCACCGAGTATGGAAGTGCGAGTAGTCGCCTGGTTTTGTGAAACCGGGAATGATGAGGCCAAGGAGGAAGATAGCAGGAGGGCTGTGGAAGCTGAAGGTTCGGGAGGAGATATGTTTGTCTATTCCACCAGAGCGTTCGCTCATCCCGCCGACTCCTACCCTCGTCCCCTCACGGATGCTGATGATGGTCCTACGTTTGTTTGGCATGAGCAGGGTCAGGCTGCGCCCGATGGAGAGCCAGCGGGCAATGTCCTGTGGGGCTCCCTCTTTACCCTGTCAGTGAGCTCAGTCGAGCTGGGTCCTGCACTGCCATGGTTAATGAGTACGATTCGTTGTTGGCTGAGTGTCGTGTTCCTGTATAAACTCCGTACCCGCAGTAACCACAGAGCGCCGAAGTCTCAGCATACACGTGAGCTCACATGCTTGCTGTACCATCCAATGCCTCGTCTTTTCGGACTGCGCGAACGTTGCCAACATGGCTACCATACCTGAGGCCGACCACCTGTCAGGCAGAAAGGTTTACGCTGGCGCTTTCCGTCTATGCTGCTCCTCTTCCCCATCCTCCTCCTCCACCTCCTCCTCCTCTGTGCTGCATTGCGAAGTGGCTGCGCTCAAGGATGTAGCCGAGGTCGGCATCGATAGTCGGGAGCCGTGGAGGGTGGGGAGCGGATTCGTTTATGTTGGCGCAAAACTGGCAGTCAACATGCATCCTCGTGATGAGAAGATCCACTTAAGCGTGATCGACCACACTGTCAGAGCAGCTCGTTGCACGGTGCGCCTAGCTGCTAGTTTGTTGCACCTGTGGGAGCCTATAGATCTCTCCGAGGCCACTCTCATCAAGGCTCCTTCGGTTCCCCATGGCCACTCTCATTCCTGGAGGTCTTGGGCGGGGGCCAGGAGGTGTGAGAGTGTTTAAAAAAGAGGCAGTCCTCTGACAAGCCTGGACGATGTCCAGGCACAAGCAAGTTGCACGCTTCCTCCTCCGCCTCATTCCCCTCCTCCTCCTCCTCATCATCATCATCATCATCATCATCATCAGCATCATCATCATCATCAGTATCCTCCTCTTCCTCCTCCACCCCCTCCTCCGCCTCCTCCTCATGTCGCACCTTCATCACGACGCGAACGGCTCCGTAGGCGAACACCTCAGTGCGTCAGGGGGGGGAAATGATGCGGCAAGAGGGAAGAGGGACGAGAGAGGAGATCGAAAGGCAGGGGAAGCGCAGTGAAGGGGGTGGAGGACTGGGGCGAGCGGAGGGGAAACGGAGAGGAGTGGCGGGAGTGTGAGCTGGGAATGGAGGGTATGCTGTCGAAGGGCCGTGCCAGACAGCCTCAGATGAGGCAAGCAGAGACAGGCCAAACAGACTCTGCTGCTGCTGCTGCTGCTGCTGCTGCTGCTGCTGCTGCTGCTGCTGCTGCTGCTGCTCCTGCTGCTGCTGCTGCTGCTGCTGACCGCGCTACTTGACAATGTCCCCGAATGGGTAAATTACTGAGTGCGTCATAGTCACTTCCGCTCCCAGGAGGTGATGCAGACTACGGGAAACTGGATGGATCGCCAATTACCTCTCGGCGCCAGCTTCGCGGCGACTCCCCAGGCCAGAACCGTGTCCTCCGCTGGGACCCGAGCGGGGCAACAGATATGGCACTCCTGCGGCGAAGCCCTCACGTGCACGCAAGACTCCACCAACACCACCCAGCGGGCAGTGCGCCTCAAAGTCCAGGTGGGACCCCGGCAGGGGGGGGGCGTCTGGACACCCATCGGATCCAGGAGTGCTCGCCAGCTTCCCCTCAAGAGACCTGTCAAGAGCGGCACGGCCTCCACTCTCGAGCCTCAGTGCAGACACGGCGAGACTTCACGCAGCAGCAACTGACTGCATCCACTCTGGCCGATCCCAGGTGCCCCAGCGCTGACACCTCCTCGGTAGGCCTGCCCTTACCTCTGTCGACTACATACACGCAAGAGTGACCCTGGGTAAGAGTGACCTCTGGTACGCGGCTGAGCGGGGGACGCGGGGTGGCCAAACCTGGGCGCGCAAGCCGCTGCGACCGATTCCAGTTCAGCAATCGAAGGGTCCCATTGGGCCCGCACGAAAGGTCACTCCGCCAAAAAGTCACTCCCACGTCTAGTCGACCTCTGCCCAGCTTTCGCCGAGTTTCCACCGGGCTGCCGCCGGCGGGACCGCCCCCCTCCTGCTTCTGGCGGCTTCCACGGGCCTCCCGCTGGCTCCTCCCGAGGACGAGAGGCCAACCTCTCCAACCCCCTCGACGACGGGGCAGGTCCCGCCTGCGCTGCCGCTCGGAGCCCTCCCGACCCGCCTCTCGAGCTGCGCTCTGCCGCGCAACCTCCTCCCCAGGGGCGGCTCCTCCTCCCAGTCGCTCTCTGCCCACGGCCGCGGGGCCAGGCGAGGGCCCCCGGAGACGACCTCCTCCTCCTCCTCCTCCTCCTCCTCCTCCTCCTCCTCCTCTCCCCTCCTCCTCCTCCTCCTCCTCCTCCTCCTCCTCCTCCTCCTCCTCCTCCTCCTCCTCCTCCGGCTCCTCCTCCTCCTCCTCCTCCTCCTCCTCCTCCTGCTCCTCCTCCTCATGTCTGGGTCCTCCTTCTCGGACCCCAGCCCATGGACCCAATCGGCGGCGAGGTTTGCCCCTGAGGACCTCATTGAGCCTCGGGCACCGATGCCTCCCGCCCTCGAGGCGGGTGGAGGGCATGCACGTCCGATGCTGCCCGAGGGCCTCGGAGGCACGTCCCCAGCTCGGTGGATATGGTCGGCGGCGAGCGAGGGGGAAGTGAGGAGAAGGCCTTCTCGGAAGGCTCGGAAGTCCCCCGGCCTTCCGAGCTCCTCTTCACTGCCCCCCCTTCGCTCGCCGCCGAACAGAGAGTGCCGGCCTCCAGCGCCGCGGCGCGCGCGCGCGGCGCCCCGCCTCGGCCTGCATCTCCTCTCGGCTACACACAGGAGCGACCCTGGGGTAAGGGCGACCTCTGGTGCGCGGCCTTTCTGTTGGGGGCCGCGGGGGGGGGAGGGGCCAAACACAGGCGCGCAAGACGCCACCACCGCATCGCGCTCGGCGGTCGGGGGGCCCCATGTTGGGCCCGCACCAAAGGCCACCCCGGCGAAGGGTGGCTCTTGCGTCTAGTCGATCCTCGTTGTCCTCGCACATGCGGAAGAGCGCGCCGCCGGCGGCCCGCTGCACGTCGGCCGACTGCGGGAAGGCCCGCATGGCCTGGCGCGGCGGGCCCCCGGGCGCGTCGGGCACGGCATGGCCTGTGGAGCGCAGCGCTCCATCGATCTCCCCATCATGTTCGGAGGCAGGTGCCTGGGAGGTCTGCGTCGGAGAGAACGAAAAGGGTTAAAGCCCCATCGGGGGGCTGCTTCGCTGACTCAGGCCGCGGATTCAGCGGGATTCAACACGATGAAGCGGGATGTAGCGGGATCGAGCGGGAATAAATCGGATTAAGCCAGATTTCGGACCAGGGCAAAGTCTGAATTTGACCTCCCGGGAGTTGCATCCGAAATCATGGGTGGACCAGAAAACAAAAGAGACCACCCCACCTACGGCCCCACGGGCCTTGTCGGGCGGGCGCTAATGGGGGGTAACCCAAATACGGGTTGACGAAAAAGGCCCTATGAAGAAGCCCTTTAGGGCCCCGTTTGGGCACCAACCGGATCCAAAAGGGGCCCTGAAGGGCCCCATTCGGGCCCTTTTCTTCACCCCCCATTTAGGCCAACCCGCATCACCACCCGCCCGACCTTAGCGTATACCATGAACTCTGGCTCGGGCTTTTGCGTGGTATGCGCTGCGGCCCCCGCTGGGCCGAAGCGCAGCATGGAGGGCCGCAGGTGGGGTGGTGTCGTCTGTTTTTTGATCGATCATAAGGGGCTGCTTGGGGCCCGCCCTCTCCCACCAATTCACCAGCGCACCACGCCGTCAACAGGCACTGGAGGGGGCCGAGGCCCTCCCTACACGGCCCCTCGACCAACGAAGACGGCCGCAGGGAGGGGTGCCAACGTGCCTCCGCCCTCATGGCAACTCTGACATTACGGCGCCACTTACCACCATCCGGAATTTTCCTTCCACTGGCATGGCCTTGGCCCCACTGGCCGACTCAGCCCCCCACGATGGGGACACACGCTGTTCCCTTCGGGGTTCGCAGGCTCTGTCCCCACCTGGGCGGGTCGCCTGGTGGGGCGGAGATACCGTGGCGTGGCGGAGATGGGGATCGGTTAGGAGATGCTGATCGCCTCTGGCCCGGCGCCTCCCGCAAAAAATCCGCCAGAGTCCGGACCTCCCGCGAAGAACTCGCGAGAGCCCCGGCCTCCCACCCCCAGCCCCGCCCCCCGCCCCGACCCCAAACCTTCGGCCGTTGCCGCTTCGGCCGCTGCCGCTGCGCCGTTGCGCCTCGTTTCGAGCAGCCGGGAGGAGACTCGTTTTCCCTCGATCGCGGCCTCCGCGGGCAGCTTGTGGCCCCAGGACCAAGAAAAAAGTAGCTCCCTCGGCGGCAGGTTGCCTCCAGCGAAGGGGCGTCGAGGCCTCTGGGGCCGGCGGATCGACAAGGCCAAGCCGTCGGCGGCCTCCGTGGGGCCCGACGAAGACGCGCTCGCGCGCAGCCCGCACGGACGCGCGCGCGAGCGCGCGGCGTGCAGCCCGATGCGCAGCGCTGCCGCCCTCCCGGGGCCATGCACGCATGCCGCGATCCACGCGTGCTCTTGGTTGGTTTTTGTTCGTCTTGAACTGAGCACCGCGGTCTCCGTCACCTCTCCTCCTCCTCCGCCTCCTCCTCCTCCTCCTCCTCCTCCTCCCTCCCTCCCTCCCTCCCTCCCTTCCTCCCTTCCTCCCTTCCTCCTTCCTCCTCCTCCTCCTCCTCCTCCTCCTCCTCCTCCTCCTCCTCCTCCTCCTCTCCTCCTCCTCCTCCTCCCCACCCTCCTCCTCCTCCTCCTCCTCCTCCCCTCCTCCTCCTCCTCCTCCTCCTCCCCTCTTCTTCGTCCTCCTCCTCCTCCTCCTCCTCCTCCCCACCCTCCTCCTCCTCCTCATCTCCTCCTCCTCCTCCTCCTCCTCCGCCTCCTCCTCCTCCTCCTCCTCCTCCTCCTCCTCCTCCCTCCTCCCTCCCTCCCTCCTCCCTCCCTCCCCCTCCCTCCCTCCCCTCCCTCCTCCCGCCCTCCCTCCCGCCCTCCCTCCCTCCCTCCCTCCCCTCCTCCTCCTCCTCCTCCTCCTCCTCCTCCTCCTCCTCCTCATCCTCCTCCTCCTCCTCCTCTTCCTCGGTAACCGTTTGGCTCAACCTCGTGCCGCTGAGCGCGCCGCCTGGGAACGGCCGCGCTGGCCACCCGGTCATGCCCGGTTCTCACGCAGGAGGTTGAGCGGCGGTGCGCGAAGGAGGCGGCGCGGGGCGCCCTCCTCGCCACCCACGCTGCCTCTGGCCTGGTCGCAGGCCACTCCCTCTCGGGAGTGCGCCTCCTGCGGACAGCCGAGGGCCTTCTGCGCGCCGCGGTGGCAGCCTGCGCTGCCGCCCCGCTGCGCCTCCCCCGCATGCTGGCACCGCGCCCCCTCCGAGGCGGCGGCGCGGGCGCGGCGGCCGAGGCGCGGCTGAGGTGGACGCGACGGACGTCGAGCACCTCTCCGACCTGCCCACGGAGGCCGCGCCGCAGGAGCCTGCCCTTCAGGCTCGGCGGCGGCGGCGCCGTGCGCAGCCTCGTCGCGGGGCTGTGGCGGTGGAGGGTGGTGGAGGAGCTGGAGGCGCAGGCGCTGGCGTGGCGGCCGAGGCTGGCGGAGGGTCCCGAAGCTGGCGCTGCGGCGGCGAGTGGTGGCCGTACCGACGGCTCCCTGGAGGAGGCGGCCGAGGGCGGCGGCGGCGGCGGCGGTGCGGCCGGAGGTGCACGCAGGGGCCTCTCGTGCTCGTGCACGCGCCTGCGGCGGCGGCGGCGCTCGCTGGCCCCTCCGAGGCGGCCGAGGAGGAGACAGATGACTGCTGGGCCGATGGCCTGCAGCGGGCGGCGGCTCCTGCGGCAGGCGCTGCGGGCTGCGCGGGCCCGCCCTCGGCGCCTGGCGCGGCGGCAGCTTCCGAGGCCCGCGCGGCGAGCAGGGAGCGGATTCTCGCCCAGGCGCGCCCCAGGCTCGCGGCGAAGGGCGTGGGCTCATGACGCTCGTGGACGCGATGTTCGTGTCCCTGGAGGCGGTCGGGGGCCTGGGATGGGGTAAGCCTCCCACGGTGGCGGCGGAGCGGCCCCAGGCCCCCAGGCAACTTTTGATCGAACTGCTCAAGGCCCGTCAGGCTGCTCGCTCCTACTACTGTTTTAACAAAAAAGCCTCCTCCTCCTCCTCCTCCTCCTCCTCCTCCTCCTGCTCCTCCTCCTCAGCAGCAGCATCAGCATCAGCATCCTCATCCTCATCCTCATCCTCATCCTCATCCTCTTCCTCTTCCTCTTCCTCATCATCATCATCATCATCATCATCATCATCATCATCATCATCATCATCACCACCACCATCATCATCATCAGCATCATCATCAGCATCATCATCATCGTCATCATCATCATCAGCATCATCATCATCAGCAGCATCATCATCATCATCAGCAGCAGCATCATCATCATGAGCATCAGCATCATCATCAGCAGCAGCAGCAACAGCATCATCATCATCAGTATCAGCATCAGTATCATCATCATCAGCATCAGCAGCATCAGCAGCAGCAACATCATCATCATCATCATCATCATCATCAGCATCAGCAGCATCATCATCAACAGCATCATCATCACCACCACCATCAACATCATCCTCATCCTCATCCGCATCATCATCCTCATCATCATCCTCATCCTTATCATCATCATCCTCATCCTCATCATCGTCCTCATCCGCATCCTCCTCCCCTACCTCCTCCTGCATTCTGCTTTATTCCCGACCCTCCTGTGTTGGCTTCTCGTTTAAAACAGAGAACTGCTCGCACGTCTCCTTCCCGCCCCATGTCCCCGTTTTGTCCTCTGCCTCTTGCTTTATTCCCAACCCTCATTGGCTGGGGAATTCGTTTTGAATAGAGCACTGCTCGCGCGGCCTTCCTTCCTTCCTCCTGCCTCCCTCTTGTCTCCTCTTGCCTTGTGCGTACCTCTCGTGTGTGCATCTTGCCTGCGGTACCTCTTGTGTGTGCATCTTGTCTGGGAGGCTGCGATCTGCGAAACTGTCGTAACGTTCGAGGGCTGCTTGGGGGCAGCATAGTGGGTGTAGCCGGCGCAGATCCAAATTAGACCTCGCCATCCCTGGGGGGGCTGCGATTTGCGAAACTGTCGCCACGTTCGAGGGCTGCTTGGGGGGGCCAGCATAGTGGGTAGCCGCCGCAGATCCAAAGTAGACCTCGCCATCCCTGGGGGGCTGCGATTTGCGAAACTGTCGCCACTTTCGAGGGCTGCTTGGGGGGCCAGCATTGTGAGTAGCCGCCACAGATCCAAAGTAGACCTCGCCATCCTTGGGGGGCTGCGATCTGTGAAACTGTCGCCGCTTTCGAGGACTGCTTGCGGGGCAGCATAATGGGTGGTAGCCGCCGCAGATCCAGAGTAGACCTCGCCATCCCTGGGGGGCTGAGATTTGCAAAACTGACACCACGTTCGAAGGCTGCTTGGGGAGCCAGCATAGTGGGTAGCCGCCGCAGATCCAAAGCAGACCTCGCCATCCCTGGGGGGGGGGGCTGAGATTTGCGAAACTGTCGCCGCGTTCGAGGGCTGCTTGGGGGGCCAGCTACGGCGGGTAGCCGCCGCAGATCCAGAGTAGACCTCGTCAGCCCTGGGGGGCTGCGATTTCGCGAAATTGTCGCGCCGCTTTCGAGGGCTGCTTGGGGGGGCAGCATAGCGATCTGCGAAACTGTCACCACTTTCGAGGGCTGCTGGTGGGTCCAGCGGAGTCAGGCACCGCGCAGATCTGAGCGAGGCCTCAGCGGAATGAGGCACCGCGCAGATCTGAGCGGGACATCGCCGTCCTTGGGAGGCTGCGATCTGCGAAACCGTCGCTACTTTCGAAGGCTGGTGGCGGATCCAGCGGAGTGAGGCACCACGCAGATCTGAGCGGGACCTCACAATCCCTGGGGGGCTGCGAGCCTCACGAATGCCGCTCGCAGAAGTGTCTGCGCCCGTGTCACGTCATCACCTCCGTATAACGTCTCCTAACCTACTCATGCCCCGCATTGCGCAGGGGTTGGGCACGTCGCCACAGTAATTCCCACTGCCCGTGGGGCTGCGGCCTGCGAAACTGTCGCTCCAAGGGGCTCAGCGGAGTGGTGTCTTTCGCAGACCCAGGCAAGACCTCTCGGCTCCCTGTGGGGCTGCGAACTGCGAAGCTGTAGCCAGTCTCCTGGGCTCCTGAGGGGCCTGGCGGAGAAGCTTCTTATCCACATCCAGAAGAAACCTCGCGGCTGCATGCGGGGCTACAAACTGCGAAACCGTCGCGCCCTTCGTGGGTTCCTTGGGGCCCAGCGGAGTGGTGTCGTGTCCTGCGCACAGCCAGGCAAGACCTCTCGGCTCCCGGGGAGGCTGCGGAAGTGGGCTCCTGGGGGCTCAGCGGAGTGGTGTCTTACGCACATCCAGACTGGACCTCTCGGCTCCCTGTGGGGCTGCGAACTGCGAAACCAGTTCCGCGGCCTCCTGGGGGGTCCAGCGCAGTGGCGTCTTGCGCACATCCAGACTAGACAACGAGGACTTCTGTCTCCCTTGGGGGGGGGGAACTGCGAAACTCTCGCAACGTTTGCGGGCTTCTGGGGTGCCAGCCCAGTGGGAGCCTACGCACATCCAGACCAGACCTGTCAGTTCCCTCGGGCTTTGCGAACTGCGAAACTATCACAACTTTCGTTGGCTCATGGGGGGCCCAGCGGAGTGGTGTCTTACGCACATCTGGGCTAGACCGCTCGGCCCCCTGGGGGTCTGCGATATGCGAAAGTCCTGCCACTTTCGTGAGCATCTGGGGGGCCAGCGGAGTGGTAGCCTACGCACATCAAGACTGGACCTGTCGGTTCCGTGGGTAGCTGCGAACTGCGAAACTGTCGACACCTTCGTGGGCTGCTGGAGGCCCAGCGGAGTGGTGTATTACGCAGATCCAGACTCGACCTCGCGGCTACCTCGGGGACTGCCGCCTTTGCAATTGTCGCCGCGGCTAGGCGTCTCAAAGCGGTGGCCCATCGGACCCGCTGAAATTGCATCATCGGCAGTCTCTTCCGTCCCGTATGCAAACCTTCCAGGTGAGCAGAAATCGCTTCCCTGGGGGGGGGGGGACGTGGTGAGGATGGAGACTCTCCAGGCTCAAAGCGGTGGCTCGTCGGACCCGCTGAAATATCATCATTGGCAGTCGCTTCCCTCCTTTACGCAAGCCTTCCAAGTTGGTGGCGGGTGGAAGACATTGAGCGTGGTCAGAAGTTCGTTGGCGAAACTTTCAAGGGTGGCAACAGACATGCGCACGAACTCTTTTCAACCAAGCGGTCATGCTAATAGCCGTCCGATGTGTACAAAAGGATTGGGCACATCGATGGGACCAAGAGGGTAAAGTACCATAACACGACGAACGTCCCACTGGTCGAATTGGGATCCGCGCCATGCTCGCTCCGCGAGCGCACGCACGCCGCTGCACGTGCATCAACCTCGCAGGGCAGAACCCCGTGTGAGGCAACATACGTTCTGCGGGGACGGGATGCCGTACGCAGGCGTGCGTGTGATGTGCACGCGCAGACGAGCGCAACGACACACACTCACCGCTGAGCTGTGCAGTGGTGAGCACGAGCCTGGCCCTTTCTGTAGTTTCCTTCCGCGCGCTGCTTGCGAAGCAAGAAGAAGCCCACTCCGGCAAAGCATCGCTGGGAACTGCACTTGTCGGCCCTCAACCGAATCTCTGCCCCTGCTGGGCCCCCAAGCCCTCCACGACCGCGCCAACTCGATTACGAGACCACTTGCGACCAGCCCAGGACCGCCTCAGGACGGTCAAACACGGGCTCGAGAGGATTATCAGCTTTTCTGTCCAAGATGGCTTCAAGACGGGCCCAGCGCGGCCCACGACCGCCTCAAGAAGGCCCCAAAGGCATCCAAGACGCCCAGACACGCCTCCAAGAGGTGAGGCCCTGGCCATGACATCCCCACCTCCCTTGTCATCACCCCCCCTCTTTCGGGGGGTGCTAAAGGTGCCCCTGGCCCAAGGTGCGCCCAGCTTTCCGTTCAGTTGTGCACCCCCTGAGGCCTTCTGGGCCTCGTGAGGGGTGCTCTGGAGGCCGTGATGGCCTCCTCGGAAATCCTGGGGAGCACCTTGGGCCAGGGGCACTTCCAGCAACACCCGACTCCTGGCTGCCCCCGCCTGGAGGCCCAGGACCCCGCCCCTCGACCGCGGCGTCGGCCCGCGGGCCCCTCCCAGAGCGCGCCCAGACCAGAGCTTCGAGGCGGACCCAGCCGTGGCCGCGAGGGGCCCCGCTACGAGGCCGAGGCGAGGCCTGGGGGCGTCGGGCGTCGAGGTCTGCGGCCGCGTCGTCGGAGACGTCTCGTCCGTGGCGCCCTGGCCTGCAGCGCCAGCTGCGCGCCGCCCCGGCACACGGCGGTCTCCTGGTGCTCGGCGCTGCGGGTGACGAGGTCGCGGAGCAGCCCGCACGCGATGATCTCGGAGGAAGGGGAGGGCGGGGAGGGAGGGTATCCTCAGGAGAGGAGGGATCGAGGATCGAGGATCGAACTCCGACTCTGGAGAGGGAGGGGAGAGGGGAGGGGAGTGGAGGGGACGGCGGCCCCCAGGAGTGGGGGGGGGGGGGGGAATCTCTGTCGCCACTGCTTGTCGCGGCTCGGAGAGCTTCCCAGGATAGACCCCCAGAGGAGCCCTGGGACCTGTTTGAGCGGCGTTTGGTCGGGAAGGGGGAGGGGGAGAGAGCAGGATGGAGAGGAGGCGAAGAGACGAAAGAGAGACAAGGAGGGTTGGGGAGGGGGGATTTTCGACGGCTATGGCCGTTTGGTGGAACCTCCTGGGGGCCCTCGTCGGAACGGCTGCATCCGCCTCGGAAACTTGGTCTGAACGCGCCCGAGAAGGTCCAGGGGGGCGATTCGCGGTTCCGGAAAAAGCTCCCGATTGGTCTGAAGCGCCCACGGGAAAAGAGGATCCGGAACAAGCGGAGCCCAATTGTCCCCGTCCTCCTTGCCCTCCTCGTCCTCCTTCCTCCTGCTCCATCTCCTGATGCTGCTGCACTTCCTTTTCCTCCTCCTCCTCCTCCTCCTCCTCCTCCTCCTCCTCCTCCTCCTCCTCATCATCATCTCATCATCATCATCATCATCATCATCATCCTGGTTCCGCCTCCTGTTCCTGTTCCTCGCTGCTCCTGCTACTGCTCCCTCCCGCTTCTGGTCCTGCTCTCCTCCTGCTGTTCCTCCCCCTTCTACTCCCGCCTCTCGTTCCTCCTCCTCCTCCTCCTCCTCCTCCTCCTCCTCTCCTCCTCCTCCTCCTCCTCTTCCCCCTCCTCCTCCTCCTCCTCCTGCTGCTCCTCCTCCTCCTCCATCCCTTTTCCTCCTCCTCCTCCTCCTCCATCATTTTTCTTCGAATAACTCTTCCTCGTCGCACCCGGAGACCTGTCGGTAGGGCGGGTCGGACGTTTCACGTGAGAGTTTCTCACAAAGTATGATCCTTAAGCTGGAAACTTGCACCAGCTTCACGGATGGAAGGCGGGTCGCTTTCAAAATATGGTTATCGCCCTAGCGCCGCGCACATTCGTCTTAAAATGCGAGAGCTTCACGAACGGATGGCGGACCGTTTTCAAAATGTGGTTCTCGCATTAGCGCCGCGCGCATTCGTCTTAAGAGTTTACAGCCGTTTCGGGGATTGTTCGGGCTGACGTCCCAGAAACGGTGTTTGGCACGATGTAGGACTGCAAGGCGCAACAATCAAGTTGGCTCGCGGTGTTGAAATCCCGGGAACGGTGTCCTGGCGCGATTCAGGATCGTCAGGACACAACAGTAACGTTAATTCGCGGTGATGAATCACGGTTCAGGATTTCCAGACGGTTGTCTTCGACGGGTCTCTTCCCTCAGTGAAAATGAGCACTTCGAGGGACCTATGAAGAAGGAGCTTGGAAAGAGGGTGTATTGAAACATAGTTGATGAGTCTTGGGATTAAACTGGTCCTCCATCTCTCCCTCCTCCTCCTTTTGTTCCACCTGCTCCTGTTCCACCTCCCCCTTTCTCCTCCTCCTCCTACTACTCATCATCATCATCATCATCATCAGCAGCAGCAGCAGCAGCAGCAGCAGCAGCAGCAGCATCATCATCATCATCATCATCATCATCATCATCATCATCATCATCATCATCATCATCATCATCATCATCCTTCTCCTGCTCCTTCTCTTCTTGCTCCTGTTGTATCTTCTGTTTGCCCTCCGCACACAACCCTCTGCATGACCAAACTAGACAGGCGCATCCTCCCTTCATGTGTCCCTACCCTCGGCCGCAGTCTTCTACAAATTACTGACCCCCCGAATTATCATCATCATCATCATCATCATCATCATCCTGCTCCTCATCCTCCCCATCATCATCATCATCATCACCATCATCATCATCATCATCATCATCATCATCATCATCATCATCATCGTCATCAGCATCATCACCACCATCATCATCATCACCATCACCAACAACAATATCATCGACCTTGCCGTACCATCAACAGCATCACCCTTCTCATCCTCATCCCCATCCCGATCATCATCATCGTCATTATCATCATCAGCATCCTTATCAACGGCAAAATGAACCACATGAGTAAGATTAAGACTGGTCGTTCCTATGTGCTCGCGTGCCACTCAGCACGACGACGGCGACAACGACGACGACGGCGGCGGCGGCGGCGACGGCGACGACGCCACGCCCCAGGACACGAGCGAGAGTGAGGTCGCGCGGAGCAGGCGCGAGAGCGCGAAAGCGCATTCAGGGTGTCCAACAGCACTAATTTTTTAGCGACGACAACGACGACGACGACGACGACGGCGACGACGCCACGCCCCAGGACACGAGCGAGAGCGAAGTCGCGCGGAGCAGGCGCGAGAGCGCGAAAGCGAAAAGCAAGGACGTATCGAGCGGGAGCGCCGATTTTGTTGGAAAGGCGCTTTGGGGGGGCGAGCAAGAGCCCCGGCCCCGAGTGAGAAAGTTGTTTGGGGGCCCGTTTTGGCGCACCCCCGAAACGCCTGAGCGTGAGCCTAATTTTCAAAAGAAATACAGCTGGCGACGAGGCGAGAGCGCGAAAGCGCATTCAGGGTGCCCAACAATAATAATCGTTTAGTAATTAAGGTTCAACCACAAGAATAACAACAACCGCCACCATCATCATTGTCATCATCCACATCACCAGCACCATCATCATCAGCATCAGCATCAGCAGCATCATTATCATTGTAAGATGTTTCGCTCCTACCTACTCGCGTGGCATTCAACACTCTTATCCATTCGCTTGCCATGCGACACATGTATGACAAACCCTCGATACCCGGCCTCTTCGTCTTCGATCGCACCCCTCTTCGGGGTATACCTTCCCTACCTGCCACGTGTAGTTGGCGCAGCCGCTAAAACAGGGGAAGGAAGGAGGGAAGAAACGAGGAGGAGGGAGAAGGATGGAGCATGAGAGAAA